TACTATTATTTTTGTGGCACCCTTTGGTCGACTTACTTACTTTTGTCTATTTTTGTAATGGCCGTGTACAGAATCCTTAATGATGTACCATGGTGAAATTGCACATGCAGTGTGAAATCGAATTTTCATAATGCTTCTTGACTCGGCGTCAGGTACGTTTCCCGTCAGTGCGTATACTCGATATCTACACCGCTCTGAATAAATAAGTTTTTGAATTATTGTGCAACATTAAGTTTCAAACTATAACTCAATTCTATTTACAAAAATATTAAGTATTTGAAAAAACTCTAGGTGTTTGAGCAAAATTACTTAGTTTGAAACTTGACTGGTTTAAAATGTATAGTTCTTCAACATTATTCTTTTACATCGTTACATTTTCCATATTTTGCACATCCATATCTGACAATAACACACAAAAATATTCCAGAGATTTGTAAAAATAACATGGATGTCCGTTCTCGTACTTTGCAATCTTCTTAATAAGCCAAAGAAAACATCATTGACGTTATTATTCAAATAAAGGCGAGGCAAAGTTGACGTTAATAGAACAGAACAATTCTATAATTATCTCCCTGCCTCATCCCCGGCTACACCCCTGCCACTATACGTATGTTGACTAAACTGTGTTAAGTGAGATACACAAACTAACATGTAAAACTTACCTGTCGCTGCTAAGACAAAGAGGGTACACACCAACACTACAGTGAACATCCTGGATATTTTCTTCAGTATTTGCCACTGAACGATATACACAAACTTTGGATGGAAAAATAATTTTGTATTTGGCATAATTCATTCGTTGAGGTGTGGTATCATTTTTATTAGACGAAGACGTATTCACTGAACGAATTTGAATATTCGTCGACTAAAATATGTTACCAAACCCTCATTAATGTCAATATAGTACTATGTTAAGTTCAATGTCATATGTGTAATTCCTTAGTTTTAACAAAAGTGTTTGATATATAGTTATAGCGAGATAAAGTGACATAAAATGGGCGAAAGCGCCGAAACCGGAACAAATCGTGGAACTTTCCAAATATGACCAGACAAGCTTCCTGAGTGTAAAAATCAATTGTGCCAAAAATTTCTATTATTTTTTCTCTATTAAGTTTTACCCCTAAATATTGGACAGATACCCGGCAGAGTAAAGAAACAAGGTGGACTGTATTCAAATTCTGGTGTGTGGTACTCCAATCACATTATTATGTTTTGTGTCAGGCAAATGGTAAGTTTATAAAGAAATGTTAAGCAGTGCAACTGACACATTGATCACAATCGAAGAAAATGGGAAAAGCCAATAGATTATAACTGTATAAAGGAGAGAATTATTGAAAGATCAAAATCCATCACAGACGAATTGCCAGGGAATTGATCAGAAATGACAACAAAAATGACCTTTTTAATTACCTTCCTCGAATCAAATGTCTCAGATATTCCATGGCCAGTACAAGAGAATAAAGTCACCATGTGAAGAAATTTTCATTGCGATTACTTCACACTATTTATCCCGCTATTATACCAAAACCTTAAATTGTCATACTTTTTGAAACTTGCATTTCTAGGTGTGTCCGATCGGAGAGCTCCATCACCTCAAAAGTTCTTTAGCTAGTGATTTTTTAGAATTTTTATAGATAGCCTATATGTATCTGTTCAAAGCACAATGATGAATTAAATGTTGAAAATTCATTTGATAAAATCGAATTTGATTCCCGATTTGAGTTTACTTGCATTTTACTTCAAGGCCACTTACCTGCTGTCTCAATAGTCTGTGTTAAGGATTTGCAATGCGCAATGGTATTTATATAATATTCAAACATGACCGTGCTCTATTCGAATTTCTCAACCAATCAGAATGCAGCATAGCCAATATAGAACGTTCTCTAATTCTCCATAGATGCACGACCATGCTCTATTCAATCTGCAATTTGCATTGTTTTGAGTGACGTCACATCTCAGCTGCACATCTGGGGCTCTGTCCGGGGATAGCTGTTCTTTTTTACTCCCTCCGTAACTACTGTAACTATTTAACTATGGATTTCTACCATGTAATCTATCGCCACTTTTCAAATAACCTGAAAATTGAAACATTTCTCCTTTCACATTTCTTGCTTTTGAAGAGTTCAAACATGATTTACTTAGCCATTATGTCCCTATCATCGAATATATGCCTGAGGTTGGACGTCAATATAGCCTGAGCTTGCGAAGGTTATATTGACGACGGACCGTGCTTCGGTTCGTGCTTTGTACAACATTATGTCCAACTCGTGCTGAATTTCAACATATTGAATGGCCTATCATTATTTATTCTTTAAATAGTCCACAGGTGTACATACATGATAAACATTTTAATTAGGAAAGCAAAACACTTTTAAATGTTTTAATGGTTGAACAAAGGGATGGCAACCAAACTTTTCTTTAAACAATTACAATATTGATAGACCTAAACACGTTGTGTATATGTCGTTTAATTTCAATGAGGTTTGGATAGATGTTTCATTTCATTCCGAAGACTTGATACCAAGAACAAAAAAAAAGCATCTGATGTGTCTTCAGAAACAATATAGAGAAACATATATTTGTAGTGACTGAGACCATCATAACATTTTATGTTAGTCTCAGGTAGAGATACGTATATTTATTCCATAGTTAGCATGATAATCATAGGATAACATGTGAAAATAAAAACGGTATTTTTGTAATCAGTGGTAAAATATGATATTTCTGACAAATTTTCACTTAACCATAGCATACGGTTTTTTAGCCATGACATACGGCGCCGTATGCGATGGTTTATGGATTTTTGCTACTTCAGACTCAACACGATGCTAAGTGTCAACATCTGCCGGATCGTTTGGATAAAAGTCATATCACTCATAAATCATAGGATATCCTCTATGTATCTCATACTTGAGTGGGTTTGGGGCAGATATCACCTGGTGTGAAAGAAATTATGGTCCCCCAGGGATTATGATCCCCATTTTAAGGCCCTTACTGGCCCTGATTGTTTATAAGATAATGAGGGAAAGAGGTCATCATATAAATCAATGGAGAGTAGGACCTGGAATATATTTCATATCTGAGGAGCGGGGTGGCAGGAAATATTGTTTAAGTTTAAAAACTTTTTAAAAGTTTAAATGTTACAATTTCATTGAATTGAACTAAAGGAATATTACGAAAATGCTTAAAATAACTTGTGCTTTTTCAGTATACACCTATCTTGTCATTTGAAAAAGTCGGAAAAAGTAAAATCTACCCAACACCCACTTAAGCATGAGATACACCAGTTATGCGCGGTCGGTTTTGGATATAGGGTATATCCCAAACCTCTCAGTGCATAACCCTTATATAATTTTCAAATTAAACTGTTACCATTCAAAATTAAAGATGATCATTAGATTGACGTTGTGTAAAAAAAGATCATGTGCAGTATGGCAAGTGATTTTAGACGGTCATATCTTTCACCAGGAGTACTTTCTGGGTATAAATACAATGGTTTTTATTATATCGATATGTTTTCCTACAAGTGAAGTCCCCATGGTAGTAAAATATCAATCCAACTCTCTAATTTTCTCAATTTAAACATATGGAAAGTTTCATCTACACTATATCAACAATATCTGAAAAGGGGATGGGAATGAAATTCGTTTAAGTTAAAAACCACATGTCCCATGTTATTTTCCCATAGGGAAACTCGTGCTATCCATTGTTTTCAGCATACATGTAACTTTGGTAATCCAGAATTGATACCTGCAAAACTAGACCTTCAATACCCTATTCATAAGTTTTCGAATTGTTCGATTTATATTTTTATCATCGTGGGACGTGGGTACTTCACTTGAAAGGAAACGTATTTTTTTAATAAAAAAACAACTTATGTATGCCCAGAAAGTATTAATGGTGAAAGACATGATTGTCTAAAATCACTTGCCATACTGCACATGGACCTTTTTGATAATTGTACTGAGTGAAAATTTCAGCCAGATTGACTGAGAAACAAAAATCTTAGAGTACTTTTGCAAGAACTTTATGAACATACCAAGTTTCAATAAGATTGAGCGGTGGGAAAGTGGTAGAATATGAGGAAATGTGAGGGAACATTCTTTTGTGTGGGGTACTAATATTTTAATAATTCAGCGTGAGATGTTATTTGTTTTTTGACATATCTATATACAGGATGTATTGCGGTGGGATATGAGGTATGGTATGTTTTCTCATGGATACTTGTCTTCCTATTGGCCAAAAATTATATGCTTTCATGTTTGTTGGTTTGTTGTGATTGTGTGATTTTGATGAACTGTTGAACAACATCAAATTGGGCATGAGTGAATCGAAACTAGGCCTTTCTTAATCAAATATTTCGTTTATGATCATGGTTCTGATGATATTCGTCGTTTTCATTTTTCCTCATTTTACCTCGAGATTTCTGAAATCGCATTAGTAATATAAAATACCATTATATTTATATAAATGTCCTCCTATTTGTGATAAAACATTTAATTGTTTACGTTTAAAATACATTATACCACAATAATTGTTCAAACGTGTTGATGGTTTGCTTTATGTTGTCGTCTCTATGGTAACACTGCGTCAATGTGAGTTGATAAATAAAGGTAGAATGGAAATAGAAGTATTAATTGTCTTGTTTATTTTACTTTTGCGATATGACATTTCATGAAAAGACTATCATACAATTAAGTATTATTAACCTATGAAGTTGTGTTATACCAGTCTAATAAAGATTCCAGTGTGAAATCCAGGTTCTATTCATTTCTCAGATTCTGTCCAGTTTCATAATTATGTATATTTCGTGTATTTCTTATGTACATGTAAGTGATTCTCATCTTTGTTAGTTAATCTTAAAGCGTTATTGCATTGATAGATATAGATAACGGATCAACTTTCGGTCATGTAGGCCCATTCGTAGTACTTATTGAAATACGGAATTTAATAAATGCAGAAATTAATAAGATCCATCATGATGATATGAAAATAGAGTGATTTTGAGTGATATCATTTCATCGCCGAGTTGATATCAAATATGTTGATATTTGATATCTACGATTATTGAACTTCAGGCAATGATTATTGTTTTGGGAAATGATTCAACTGAAAGGGTGTCACCCCTCTTATGGATCAATGCTTACCCATATAAACAATGACGCTCCACGGTCTTTATTGGAGTTTGAATATAAAACGATGGATGCCACTAACTATTAAGTCGAACGTGTTGTGGATTGATTTTCTGATGCATATACATCGATTGCATCTTATAAAACCAATGTGCTCTTGTCAATAAATTATTCTATAAATAGAGTTCCTGAACACCCCTCCACACATCGTATTAGGATCACCAGGACAGACCGTGTTGCAATCCAAGTCTGGGCCTTCGCCATGGTTACCATAACTGTTACTACACCAACAGTCCTGCCCATTTTGTAACCCAATATACTGAAATCCTATAACACGAACAAAAAATCATTAGTTTGTTACGAACGTCATAATATAGTATAAAAAGTAATCTAGTTTCTATTTCGTACAACAGATACGATACCAGCATCATTATTATATCGATGAAATATTACAGATTTCACAGTTCTTCTTTGTTTTTAATACATAGATACACTCTATTTCACCCTATGCAGACAGAGCCTGTGGGAAATATTGAGTGCGGAGCAAATGAGCGGAGGGTGCGGAGCTAACGGTCATTTTTGAATTTAAATTTGGGATATTTCTGAAACTAAGCCGTTTTGGGACTTCAAATATACCAAGATATGTGTATTTGACACCAAATATCAATACAATTGTGAAAATAGTAGCGCAATTCATTCCATAGCGAAGCAGTGTGCCTTAAACCTTTCCCAGACCTATATATTTTGAAATTATCCTTTTAATACTGAGTCCCCAGCATTCATAAAAAATGGTGTTCAAGGTACACTATCTGTACAAATTATTTTTGCATCTTGGAAGCCAGGCAGTATCTGTGTGATTTTATAAAAATTCGGAAATGTTTTTCAGATATGAGCCCCCTCTAAATATTGGGTGCAGAGGAGCTCCATAAACGTACCTCCGCACCCAATATTTAGAGGGGGCTTATTATTACTGATACGTAAAATCATGCAAGATAAATAGGGAATGTATTCTTGTCAATCCTCAATTTGTTTTTATCTCATTAACACACTTATTTTTATCTGGGTTGGTCGATTTTTGTATTAGTTATTTCAAACCTCACCTTCCTTCCTATAGATATTATATGCGTGTGGTTGATCAAGTAAACATGCAGGTGTTATATGAAAATCGCATTGTAATGTGTCACCATGATACTGTACGTCACAGCTTGACACGTGTCATCTAATTGACACTCGAGAAGACACTTGTTAGCTGTCGGTATGCCGGTTCTAACTTCATATGGATTGCGATGAAACACACCTTCAGAAATATCATACAATGTCCCCAAGACAATTGGTAATATGCCTAAAAATAGATATCCAATTGTTATTATTCTGTGATCCATCCTGGTCCTAATGCTACCAAGTACGAGTCAGCTAAAAATCCAATCCTGAACAATAAGGACTCTGAGAGATCTAAACGACCGTTTCGTAAATCCCCAAAACATACAAGAATTCATTTACAGATTTACAGAAACTGATCTCTGATTATTGTAATATATTATTCCAATCAATGGTCAATTATCGATGTGTGTAACTGTGTATTTGTGAATGTATTGTAACCCGGGATTGTAACCTTCTATCGTTCATCTTATTGGCAAACTAAGTAATTTTGAGTCGCATGCGATTTAATTTCTTCTAAACCTGGTTCAATGACCATCTACAGGCCGCAGTCAGTGGAAGGGGAGGGGGTACGGACCGAAAATGTGACACCCCCGGCACCTAGCTCCTCACTTTTCAAAGAAATCTAGTTTCTTATCCTTCCTACAAAACACAAATTATAATCTTTACGGCTACCTCGCGGCCTGTAAAAAATGGATTCGCCGTACGGAAGCCGCGAGTGTAGTTTTTCTGTGATTGTGTGATTTCTATGATATTATGAATATTGTATATGTCAATGTAGCTGCTTTCAAATGTTTTCTATGAATAAAAAAGGAATAAAAAAAGATTGAACTTTAAGACCAGTGATTATGTGTGATATCGTTATCATTGTATTTTATTAATATGATTTCCCCGCCAATTTATATACAAGGGTTGTTCAAAAAGTTTTGCACAAATATATCTAATTATGAAAATAATGAACAAATCTTGCTCATAATTGTTACGTATGTGCCCCCATCTTATCATCTTACACTGTCAAGGTTTTATGTATAAACGTCTACCAATTAACATTATACGGTTGCTATAGTAACCAAGGCGATGACGCAGTGGTCCATATTATTCTGAAAAAAAGAAAACCAGTAATACATAAAGAACAATATTACCAATCATGCAAAATTTACCTACATAGGATGTCAACTTAGATTTAAACAATATCTAGTTTTGTTCTCCTGGCAAAAGTGAATCTAATATCTATATTTTCCATCTTGTTTTCTTTGATCATGCCAAAGAATGACCATATATATATAGCACTTCGGCCAAGGCCATTTGTGTCCAAAACACCAAGATTCAATTTGACTTTAGATTTTTGTAGGGGACCCCAAGGCATGTAAAAAAAAGTTTGCGAACCCTTGCAAAGTAGGCTCAAAAGTGCTGAGTCAGCAAATTTTATCATTTTCGAGTCGGAGTTTGACCATATAATATGCTTGAAACTAGTGACACTGTTGTAAATGGTTAACCTTGCTATTCTGAAGATAGATGTTAGGCTACACTGGACCATTATGGATGCGAGAAGGTCTACTACATACCTTGGGGTCGTTTCCAGAAATGTCGTAGACTTGCGATATCGTAACTCCACGACAGTCGTAGGAATGGTGAAAGTTACGACAAACTTACGACTGTCGTAGATTTACGACAGATCCGTTTCCATAAAAATCGTAAGTCTGTCGTAGAAATTCGCAACTCACGACAAGTTCCACGATAAGTGATATGAACGTCACGTGACATTCTTATTTAAAAGTTTAGTTAAAAAATGAGACATTTTTGACAAATATTTCCTCCGCAATAAGATTACACTGGCATCAGTTTTTGTCTCAAAAAATGTTGTCTCTGGGTCAGGTATATTGATTAGTTTCATTGTTCTCTGTATCCAAATTATTTCCTGGAATGATTAACGATGTCTTTCAGTGAAAGCAATACGGCTACTATTGAAAATTGTTTCGACAAGCTAAAGGTGAAACTATGGGGTGGAAGATGAACCCTAGAATCGTAAAGGAATTAAGGGTAAGAGTTGGAGTCATGTCACTGTAAATAGACTACATCCAACATGCATTAAAGGACGGCATAAGTATGCCATGGGAAATTATATAATTTGGAGAAACACATAAAAGCATTTTTGATTGGAAAAATTGCTTCCTTCAGACTGAAATTGGTGACTCCGTTGATATTTAGTTGATGACTAATATCTAATTTGACAACACTCCTCATATTCATAGCACTAGTTACTAATACCATCCCATGCAGAGAGATCACCTAAAATTACATTCGTATGATGCGAGACTCGACATTCACCGGGAAATTAGAAACATTTTGCCACCCATAAAGCAACTCAATTTTTACCGCTTTATAAATGGTGAATGACAGTCAAATTGAGTTCTATAAGTATGAGAATAGCACGACGTCTTGATATTTCAAGGTAACTCGTTTGAATAGTGATGGCGGTGATTGAAATTATGATGTAAAGATAAACCCGCAACAAAATATTTGTAGATTTCATTAAAAAAACAAGAAATATAAATTACATATAGAATTTTTCAACTTTGCGCAAGCTTCCGAAGCTATATCCGAAAGGATACTTCCGCATACGAACACCCACACGATGCACAAGGTAAATATACCAATGGGTACCCCTGGTAGCATTAACATTGGTCTCGTACATGTCAGACAATTAACATTTGAAACGCAACTGTTATTCGAACTTATGATCGAACATTAGTATGATACTAGTATTACTTAATAACCTTGAAGTACACATCATACTTATGTCCGATCATAAGTTCGAATAATATACACGAGACCAACAATTGCGATCTGATGAACATAACAATAATAAAACTAGTAACATTGATGCCGACTCATGGCTTAAATATTTTTCTGATCTGAATAAAAAACCTACATCCACATGTCGAGAATTTGAAAATGAAATCGAGTCAGAACTTAGTACAGGGTGACAAAAAAAAACTGGAACCCACTTAAGTCTTAATAACTTTGTCAATTATGCATATTGAGCTTAGTTATTTGGTACCTGTATAGTAAACTGAATGTATGACAAGATGTTAACGTTTGAGCATTCTAGCTCAATTAGTCTCCAAATGAGGCACGTTTAGATAATGTGCTCCAAATGTGCACCACGACGTTGGATGCAGAGCTGGATTCTTCTTGCAAAATTGTCAATGACCCGACTGCATTCATCTCTGACCATCTCTCTAATTAGTCTTCCTATGTTGAGTTTGAGGTCATCAATTGTCAGTGGACTATCTGTATACACATTTTCCTTAAGATAACCCCGCAGATAAAAATCTGGGGGGTTCAAATCAGGGGAGTGGGGGGGCAGATGTGGTGGGTATGGTGACTGATTAATCGACCACCAAAGTGATCCTGAAGCCTTCGAATGGACTCATTTGAGGTGTGGGGTGTTGCAACATCTTGTTGGAACCATTGCTGGTCCCTTCTCACGTCACGTCGTCTACCAAGCGCTCTCCAAAACTTTCGAATAAAGGGATGTAACATTCTGTGTTGACTGTTGAGTTTTCTCGAGTTCTGACAGACCTCTGTCTCCCAGAATAGGCTGGTTTACCATCACTTTTCTTCTTTGTTGGTTTTACAGTTCCTTCTGAATCAAACTTCTGTACAAGCCTAAAGATCTGTGACTTGCAAGGGGCTCTTCTTCCCCTGTGATCTCCCCTATAGGCAGTTTGTGTCTCTTTATATGATTTTGTCTCGATATACTTTCTCACAATATAAGTCCTTTCTTCTGTCGTCCATGGCATGATTAATATCTAAGCTACAGTACTCATTATGGTGTCATTTTGTCATGCATTCAGTCTAGTTTCTACCCTGAAGAAATGAAGAATGTAGGTATAATACTTTCCGAGAAATTTGATGATTTATGGGTTCCAGTTTTTTTTTGTCACCCTGTACATTAAAAACGAAAAACATCCTTATAGAACAACTAGATAGAGAAATATGTGGAGATGAAATATCCAAAACTTTGAGAGACTTGAAAAGCAAAAAATCAGGGGCAAATG